AGATACAATGATTCTGTAGCTGACCTAGGACCAACCCCGCCCCCCGCCCTCCCGGTCATCTTAGGAAGGAGAAATGCAGCTGAAGCAGGGAAAAGGACCCACAGTGCTGGAAGATCTGAGAAATAAATGTCCTTTCCCTAGTCATGTCATTGGGGAGAAACTGAAGCCACGGTGAAAGGGACTTGCTATTAAGTGGCAGAGTGGGCCACAGCCCTTACCTCATGGCGCCTGTGTCTGTGCTTTTTCAGTGGCAACAGGAGGCTTACAAGCTCTCCCAGGCCCTTTGTTAGCATTGTGAGGTAACCCAAGGTCTGCCTACCCTACAGATGGGCTTTGTGGTTTTGCTCCAGATCTTTTAAAGTGCCTGGGCCCAATCCTGGGAATATTTCTCATCTGGTGGTGTCTTCTCCTGTCTTAATTTCAGGGGGAGCTAACAGTTGGCCCTGTCTCACGCAAAGACTGAGAAGAAGGAAGCTGCTGGCTGAGTAAGAGGTTAGGAGAGGGTCTGTGGGTGGGTTGGAAGCTTCACCGATTTCAGGAAGGGCAGGGGGCTAAAGCTTTCCAATCCACCATAAAAATATTTTCAGAAATTGATCACTTCTCATCACCTTCGCTGCCATCACTCTTGTCTAAGTCATCATAATCTTATTGCAACTGCCTCCCACCTGGCCCCCGTTTCTGCCCTTGCCTACTATATGATAGTCAAGGTGCCCTTTAAAAATTCTATTTATTTAATACATTTTCTATTTATTTCACATAACTATACATATATGTGAAATTTCTTATTTATTATGATCACTATATTAATTACAAGAACAGAGAGAGTCAATGTACAAAAACCACTAATTCAAAGCGTCCTCTTAAATGCAAGTCAGATCATGGCACTCCTCTGCTCAAACTCCCATCTCACTCAGAGTAAACACCAAAGTCCTTAAAATGGCTCACAGAACTCTATACGAATTTCACCCACTCATTGCTCTAACCTAACCTACTTCTCTTCTGATAGCTGACTCTGCTCCGGTCACACTGACCTTGTCCTTCTTCAAACAGGCTAGGCATACTCCCACCCCAGGGCCTTCGCATATGCTATTCGCTCTGCCCAGAATGCTCTTTCCAGAAAAATCCACATGGCTTGTTTCCTCATCTACTTTAGGTCTTTGTTGAGATATCACCTCAATGGTACCTTCCTTGACTATTTAAAAGTACTGCAATGCTTCCCCTCTGCCCCTAGACTCCCTCTCCATTTCCTGACTTTTCTCTACAGCAGATACACGATAGATATGTTATTTATTATTTATTTTCGTTGTCACGAGGGCAAGAACTTTTGTCTATTTTGTTCACTGTTGTATTCCCAGTGCCTGGCACACTGATACTAAATATTTATTAATAAAAAAACCCCAAACATATTTCATCATCTTTATCTTCTTACTCTTCTCTTTGATTCTTTATTTTATTATTTTAATTTCCAAGAGCTTTCTTTTTCTTAAAAAAATGTCTTCTAAAGTACATTGTTCTTATTTCGTCATTGCAACATCTTATATCTCTGAGGATATTTGTTTGTGCGTTGGTTTTGCACAGTCTCCTCTGAGGTGCTTTCATGTGTTCGTGCATTTGATTATTCTAACTTTTCCCCTAGAGATTTTTCTCAAACATCTTAACCTTTTGTCTTAATCTCTTAAAAACTTTAATTAACCATTAGAAGTATAATTTATATACAATAAAGTTCACATACTTTGGGTAATGGTTTTTGACAAATGTATAAACCCATGTAACCACAATCCCAATCAAGATGTAGATTAGCATCACCTCAGAAAGCTTGTGTACCTCTGTAGTCAGCTTTCTCCTCACGTATCCCAAACCACCACTGATTACCTGTCACTAGTTTTTGCTCTTTCTATACACTTATATAAATTGAATCATATACTATGTAGTTTTTGTGTCTGGTTTCTTACCCTTAGCATAATGAAATTCATTAATGTTTTTTTTTTGCATGTATCAATAGTTCCTTCTTTCTCTATATGCCACAATTTATCAATTCACCTATTGATAAATTTTTGGGTTGTTACTAGTTTAGTTTTACTAACTTGTCTGCTATGAACATTTGAGTATAAGTCTTTGTGTGGGACACAGCCAGAACTAGGCTGAGGCAAATGAAAAAGCCTAGGTCATAAAATTTAAGGAGGCCCTCACTCTCTTGTTCTTATTAGTGCCAATCCTGCACTTGCACAACCCTGAGAGTGGCTGCCTTCTTAAATTTTCCACCTGAGGCACCGTGCTTGCCTTAGTCCAGGCCTGGTGTGAATATATGTTTTGAGTTTTGGTGGGTAAATATGTAGAAGTAGAACTGCTGGATCATAGGAGATGTATGTGTGTGCAACTTTATAAAAAAAACTGTCAAAACAATTTTCCAAAGTGGTTACACCATTGTCACTCCCACCACCAATGGGTGAGATTTCTAGTTGCTCCACATCCTCACCAACACATGTACTTCCAGTCTTTTCTTCTCTATTGCCACAGATGGATTGCTTCCTGCAAATATGGCTCATCTGTATGATTCTGTCATCCTCGTCTTCATGGCTACCCTGATCCAAACCAGACTCAGGAAAGCTTCTGTTGCTAGTCTTGCTGAACTATTTCTATGCCTGTTGTTGCAAACAAAAGGAATATAGATATGCAGCTCTGAGTGAGCTCTTCATCTTCAGGAAAAGCGTTTTTACTGGTGCTTTTCTGACAGCTGCCCCCACTGAGCCCCTTCACTACTCTCTAAGTTTCTTTCCCGTTCTCTCCCACAGCTTCTGTCTGATCTCAGCTGCTTTTGTTAGCCCTTATACATATTTTGGTATACATGGATTCTATTTATCTTCTGGCTTCACTGAAAATAGAATTTGCAGTTTTTTCCTTTTTGTTTTTGCATGGTTTCTAGAGTAAAAGAGTCAAAATACGTAAATATCCATTTTCAACGAGAAATCTTTATATTTCTGAGTAAACAATAGGAGGTGAAGATTTATGTATTTGGGAAAAGGAACCATAAGGAGATGTTATTGTATGTTAATTTCTAATTAGGACCACATAATGATAAAGTTGATAGAGTTAACAGTATCTGAAAATGATGGAACCCTTTCTCCAAGGGTCTCTCTAATAAGGATGTGGTGGTCAGGTATAAGAAAGAATCCTTATTTATAGTCAATGCATTCCAGGAGCAGATTGGGGAAAGTGAATTCTCATTTGCATCAGTAATTCCAACAGGGAGTTGTGTGGTTTTCACAGGACCTAGCTTTCTTGAGTAGACTTTAGGAGAAGTCATAAAATCAATAATATTCAAAGCATGGAGAAGACCTAATGGGTACATTCATTGACTTGGCTCAGCAGCATTTCAAGCATAGTTTCGGGCACTGAGCAGTCAATAAACTGGTTGGTTCTTCCAGTGATGGGATAAACTCACTGGCCTTCAGATTTTGAATTGAGCATGAACCTTCATTCTTTTTTCTTTCCTGATGAAACGAACCAACTAATAGTAGATTTAAAAAAAAAAATTAACTAAGTTTTAAACACATATAAAGAGATATATGTTTATGAAAGAATTTATTTATTTATTTATTTGTTTGTTTTTTAGGTGAGGCAACAGTTGGTTGATCTCACAGATTGCAAGGACCTTGTCAGCTTACAATCCCTTATTTATCTATCTATCTATCTATTTATTTATTTATTTATATTTTTTATGCCTACAGCACCTAGTCTTCCTAGGTGGTCTCTCATCCAAGTACTAACCAGGCCTGACCCTGCTTAGCTTCTGAGATCAGACGGGATCTGGCTTGTTCAGGGTGGCATGGCCATAGTGTTTATGAAAAAATTTAAACAGTATAGACAGTGAAGAGTGAAAGTCTTAAGCAAAACAATAACTACTGACATTCATAATTCCCAATTTTAGTACCAAAAATCTGTACATTTCTGTATATATGTATATTTCTATAAATACATAGTGCAGAACAATACTCACATGATGGTAACTTTGAATCTTTGGAGAGAAGAGTGAATTTCGGAGAAGGGGAATTTCTGTTACTATACTTATATATTGTCTAATGTTCCTAATAAGACTATATTAATGTATTACTTATATAATTTCTACTAAATATTTTAACAGCTTATTGAGGTATACATAAACTACACATAAAGTGTATAAGTGGATAAATTTCAAGATATATTCACCTGTGAAACTATCACCTCAATCAACATAGTGAACATATTCATCATCTAGAAAGTTCCCTTATGCCCCGTTATAATCACTCTCTCTTCTGGCCTCCCCGCGCATTCCAAGGCAACCACTAATGTGTTTTCTGTCAGTGTAGATTAACTAAAAATTTCAAGAACATTATATAAATGGAATATTTTTTCTGATTTCTTTCACCCAGCATAATTATTTTGATTTATCTATTTTGTAGTTGCGCCAATAGTTTTTTTTGGCTCATTAGTCTCATAAAAAACTACTAGTTTCATTTTAAAAAGTAAAATCTGCTGAGAGGAGGAAAGAGAAGCATAAATAACACATATACCGCAAACATACTGAAATGTTGCCATTCACTTAAAAATGTTGCTCAAAAATTTTAAATATTTTAAAAAGATAATGTTCCCTTACCTCACACTCAGTCCCATTTCCAGTAGCAACCACAAATGAGTTTGCGTAAAGTCCTAAAAATACGAATAGATAATTTTTAAAAAGATGTATTATTTTTCATTATGAAACCAATACGTGCTTATTGAGACGTGTTAACAGAGCGAGGGTAAAAATTTTCTTTCACAAGCTTGCGCTCTATCGGGACACACTGCGCATGCTCCAAGGCCAAAACCGCGCCCAGTTCCCGCTCCCAGTCTTCAGCCCCCAAGAGCACGGCCCTTCCCGCAGTGTCAGCAACAGGTCGCCAGGGGGTGCTGCGGCGCCGCACTCCAGAGCACCGCGAGAGGGGAGGAGCTGAGGCTCCCGGGAACTTGTGACCAGAGCCTCCAGCTTAGGCGCCGGCTCACGTGATGAGGCCCGGAAGCAGCTGCTGGGCTGCTGAGGGCTGATGGCAAGACCTCCGCGCTGAGGCGGGTTGGGGTGGGCTGTACTGAGGCGGGAGTCACAGCAGGAGCGGAGCCGGAGCCGGAGCCGGAACCCGAGCGGTGAGTCCGCGCGGACAGGCTGTGACTGGCGGCCAGTCCCCGCCTTCCTCAGCACCGGCGTCGCCTTCCTCAGGGGCGCAGCGGATGCTTGAGATCAGGCACCGACTGGCTGTCCTCGACCCCGCGCCTCAGCTGAAGGGTACCCTGTGGGCACCCTTCCTGGGATGAGGCGAACTGGAGACTGCCTTGTCCCTCACGCTATCTCCCTTGACCTCCACGTTCTATTTGACAGATGTGGAAACTGAGGCCTGAGATGGGAAAGACCACCCAAAAGACTAGCCAGGGCTTCTAATACGCTTCCCCAAGGGGTCCAGCCGTCTCGAGCAAGTCACTGGCCCTCTGTGGGAGCCCTGCTCGGGACTTGCTAATAGTGGGTCTTCAGGTCATAGAATACCAGAACTGCAAGGACCTTGGGAAATCATCTGGTGCAACACCCCCTCCCCAGCCCCCCTGGGGACAGTCAGGGAAATCGAGGCCCACGTAGGAGTATGGGCTTGCCCGAGGTCACCCCTCGCAGAGCTGCGACTAGACTAGACTCCAAGCCTCCCTGAGCTCCAGCGGCTGTTTGCTTTTCACCACACTGCCTCCTGCAGAGAACTTGACAGGTGAAAAGGCACCCTTTCCCTTTTTTTTTTTTTTTTTCAGCTCTGCATTGTCCATCGCACCGATTGGATTGAGTATGGGCGTGGTTCCGTTTCAGTGTTCACGTTTTTTTCCTGCAAACTCATCATTCTGTAGGTTTTCTTTCTAGCTGTCCTGCAGTTTAGTGTAAGTCATACCAAAATATGAAATAAGAAGTGGAGTGTACTCCTGGGAGGGCAGGTGGCTAGCAGCTGAGGTTGTGGAGAGCCCTGGCATTAACTTGAAGCATATAAAAATCGTTGCTTTATTTTTTCTGTAGCTTGTCAGATTTGGGGAATGCTGGTTATTTGGATGGATATTTTGCAGTTATTTGAGGCTTGTTGAAATAAGATAGCAGCATGGTGTAATGGAAGGAACCGAGACGGGAATGAGAAGGTTGTGTTCTAGCTCTGACACTTGCGTTGCAACCTTGGACGACTCCAGTTCTTGCTTGGGTTTGGGCTTCCCACTGTGTACAATGATCATTTGAATCTCTAAGGGCCTCTTCTCCTCTGACATGCTCTGCATCGAGGTCTGTTTTCTAATCAGAGAAGTTTTTTCCCCCCAGTGTACATTAGCATCTGCCTTGCAACATGACTTAATCCAGTTGTCCAGGGAGCAGTTTCCCTTCTTAACTTATTTCTAGGTTGCCATGAAATTCTTTTCCTCTTTCTAGCTCTTTGTGTTATGACCAAGCTAAATGACAGCAGAAAATGGTTTTGACTGTCTTTTATTACTTTAAATATATGATCAGTGCCCTCTTTGACCCTTGTCAAGAGACTAATCTAGAGTAATTAACTTGTACATTTAGAGCACGTTTTCTTTGAAGATGTTCTTGAAGTCAAGGACCAGGACATAAAAGCCTTGGTTATTTGTTCTGAAATTGAGCCTGTCTGGAGTGGAGGCCATAAGCAGCAGAGGCTGCTCTGGTGATGATATTATTTTCTCTCTCTTTGTTTTTTGATTGTGCCATTTATAAGTGTCTGCTCTTGGGTCCTTATTTTCCCTTGACTGTTCATTTGTCTTTATCCTTGTGCTTGAAGTTCTCAGAGCTGTCTTTGTGTATTTTAAAGGCAGCGTAAAGAGGCGGTTTCCATTTCTTTTGTAATACAGCTAGGACCAGTGGATCAAGGGAAGTGGTTTTTGGGTGAACATAAGAACTTTCAAAGAATTAGCATCTCTCACATTGCAACATAGAGCATGGAGGTCTCTGACACTAGAAGTAATTGTCACTGGGCAGTTACTTTTGGGGATGTTTAGATTAAATTATTATGTTGGGTAGAGGATTGGACTAAATAAAGTTTTAGTTTTTCTTCCAACTCAGAAGTTCTGTGCAGTTCTAGGACTGGACATGTTAGCATGTGGGAGATGAAGTAGAATGGAGTAGAGGTCTACTTTTGTGAGAGCTTTATTTTTCCTCTTGCTTCAGATAACTATTCTCATTGTCGAGGACTCCTGCTTTTTCTTTTTTCTTTCTTTTTTTCTCTCTCTCTTTTTTTTTTATATCCCCATCCCCCTCCCAGTGAGTATATCCCCTTTAAATTTTTAAAGAAATGTTTAAAGTTCTTTGAGGGTCAGATGCTGAAGAGTCATTACTTTTAATAATACATTTCTTCTTCCCACCCTGACCTGAAACAAGATTCTAAAACTAAGTTGAGTGAATAGACTTTGATGTCTACTTTTGCTGGCCTGATCCTGATAACCCCTTCCAGAAATGGGTGATTAACTAACCACTAACACCAAGCTTTTCCTTTTCCTGTAGCAGAAACTCATATTGAGTCTGTGTTCCTTAATCCAAGCCTTGGAGGAGTAGCGAACCTCCCTCCTTTAGCCAGGCCTTATTGGCCGGGTCTGAGCACACAAATCTAGCCTCTGTCTGATGGTTGTGGGAGTCAGTGGATGGGACATTCCGAATATGGCAAAATATAAACCACGTGATGCTGTGTTTGGTGCTGTCTCTTATCATCCAAACATTTCTCTGGGAAGCCGTGACACCCAGGGCCAGTTCTCAATAACCCTCTCTAGTAGGTAAGACTTCTCTGTGCCTCCCTTTTCCAGTGAAGTTCAAGAATCTGTCTGTGTGGGTCACTAGGATGCTCATGGCACATAGAACACCATTTTCAAGATGGGGACCTGGCTCAATACTCCTTAGTGATGGAATGGAGGAAGTGCTGCAGCACTTAATTTGTACAGCAAACTTTCTGACTTGCTGTCTTTGAACTTCTCTACAGTACTAATTACAATTGCTACCATTAATGAGTGTCCGTAATGGACCAAGCTACATATTTAACATCTTTACCTTCTATCTTCACAACAGTATTGTGATGCAGATATTATTAACATTTTTCAGAAGAAAAAACTGAGACAAAGGGAGATTAATTTGCTCAGGGTCACCCAACTAAGCTCTGAACTCCTGTACTTTTTATTATGCAGAATTTCCCCTGCAGACCTAATCCTGCCCCAGTTTTGTTCTAAGGAGATTTTAGGGAGGGTAGATCATTTATAATATGGTAGAAAGAACACTGGACTGGGAATCTGGTGTGCTGGATTCTAATCCCAAATCTTTAACCAGCTAGGGCCTTGGTTTTCTTACCTCTAAATGGGAAGCTGGAGCTCAATCTTCTGTAAGTCATTTAGTGATTTTTACGATTGTGGGTAAAAAGCGAGCGTGTTTGCCTATTCAACTTCTCCTCTGCAGAGCCTGCTAAGGTCAGCAGCTGTTTTATGGCTTCTTGCACACTAGACTCTTTCAGGAAGGAGTCTCAGTTTATGGAATGTACTTCTGTGGTAGGTTAGATGGAGTCCTATCTGATATTCTTTAAAAACCAATCATGTAGAAGTCAGTTTTCACTTTTCTCCTGGTAGATCACACATAGCAACACAGTCTGTGTCCTTGTTCTTGTCTTTGATTTCCAGCAACGGAGAAGAGAAAATGCATCTAGAGAATTTGCCAGTTCTTTGGGTTCCAAAGTCTAACCCAATGTCACTGTTTCAGAATAACAGGTAGCATTTTTAGTCTACATATATCATTAACCCATGAGATCTGGGCTGTATCCATCATAATGAGATCATACTTTTTTTAGGGCTTTATATACCTGTAATCAGGATCATCTGGCTGGTTAAAAATAAAACGCTCAGATTAGATCAGATTTGGCTCATAAATATGTTCTGTTTTTTTTTTTTTTTATAGCAGCTTTATTGAGACATAATTCAGATAGCATACAGTTCAACCATTTAAAGTGTACAATGCATTGGTTTTAGTATATTCACAAAGTTGTACAACTATCACCACAATCAATTTTAGAACATTTTCATCACCCCAAAAGAAATTCTGACCCCCTTAGCCATCACCTCTATTCCCTCTTAACTTCTTACTCCAAACCCTAGGCAACCGTCTCTCTATAGGGTTCCTTTTTCTGGACTTTCATGTGAATGAAATCATATATAATATGGCTGACTTCTTTCATTTAAAATAATCTTTTCAGGGTTTATCCACGTTGTAGCATGTATCAGTATTTCATTTCTTTTTATTGCTGAATAATATTCCATTATATGGATATACCACATTGTATTTATCCATTCATCAGGTTTATTTCTGCTTTTTGGCTATTAGGAATAATGCTGCTATGTATTTTTGTGTACACATTTTTCTGTGGGTATACGTTTTCATTTTAATATGTACCTAGGAGTGCAATTGCTGAATCATATGGTAACTATGTTTAGCCTTTTGAGGAACTGCCAGACGGTTTTCCAAAGTAACCACGCTGTATTACATTCCCACCCAGCAGTATGGCAGGGTTCCAATTTCTCCACATCTTTGTCAATGCTTGTTATTATCTGTCTTTGATTTTTAGCCATCCTGGTGGGTATGAAGTGGTATCTTATTGTGGTTTTTTAGTTTGCATTTACCTGATGGCTAATGATGTTGAATATCTTCATGTGATTATTGTCTGTTTTCACATCTTTAGTGAAGTACCTATTCAAATCTTTTCTCCATTTTTAATTAGATTGTATTTTTATTGTTGAGTTATAATAGTTCTTTTTATGTTCTGGGTACAAACCCCTTATCAGAAATATGATTTGCAGAAATTTTCTCTCATTCTATCTGTTGTCTTTCACTTTCTTGATGGTGTTCTTTGAGACACAAACATTTTTAATTTTGACGATGTCTAATTTACCTATTTTTTCTTTTTTTTTGATTTTGCTCTCATATATAAGAAACCATTGCTTATTCTGAGATCAGATATTTATGCCTATGTTTTCTTCTCAGAGTTTTGTAGCTTTAGCTCCTATATATAGGTCTTTGATAGATTTTAAGTTTTGCATATGGTGTGTGCTAGAGTTCCAACTTCATTCTTTTGCACGTGGATATCCAATTGTCCCAGCACCATTTGTTGAAAAGACTATTCTTTCCCAGTGAATTGTCTTGGCACCCTTGCCAAAAGTTAGTTAACCATAGATGTGAGTATTTATTTCTGGACTATTTCATCGATCTATATAATGTCTGTCCCTGTGCCAGTACTATATTGTCTTGGTTACTGTAGCTTTGTAGTAAGTTTTGAAATTGAGAAGTCCTTCAACTTTGTCTTTTTTCCAAAAACAGTTTTGGCTAATCTGGGCCTTTTGAATTTCCATATGAATTTTGGAATCAGCTTGTCAACTTCTATAAAAAGGCAGTTGGGATTTTGATAAGGATTCCATTGAATCAGTAGATCAATTTAGGGAGTGTTGCCATTTTAACAATATTAAATCTTCTAATCCATGAATACTGGGATATTTTTTCATTTATTTAGGTCATCTTTAATTTCTTTCAACAATGTTTTGTAGTTTTCATGTACAAGTCTTAACACTTACTTGGCTCAATTTCTTCCTAAGTATTTTATTCTTTTTGATGCTATAATAAATGGAACTGTTTTCTCAATTTCGTTTTCAGATTGTTCATTGCAAGTGAATAGACATACAAGTGATTTTTGTATATTGATCTTGTATACTGAAATTTTGCTGAACTTATTAGTTCTAATAGTTTTTAGTGGATAATTTTCGATGTGTTTGCAAGTCTGGACCATTAAAAGTATTGTTTAGCTTTTGGTAGTGAAGCTAACTGACCCTTTTGTAATGTGTTTTCCTCCTTCCTCTTCTTTCTCCTTCCTGGCCATCCATGTGCCCTGAAAGAGACCTACA